ATACTGTTCTCCATAGTGGCTGTATCAATTTACATTCCCACCAACAGTGCAAGAGGCTTCCCTTTTCTCTACACCCTCTCCAGCATTTATTGTTTGTAGATTTTTAGATGATGGCCATTCTGACTGGTGTGAGAGGATACCTCATTGTAGTTTTTCTTTGCATTTCTCTAATGATTAGTGATGTTGAGCATCCTTTCATGTGTTTGTTGGCAATCTGTATGTCTTCTTTGGAGAAATGTCTATTTAGGTCTTCTGCCCATTTTGGGATTAGGTTGTTTGTTTTTTTGATATTGAGCTGCATTAGCTGCTTGTAAATTTTGGAGTTTAATCCTTTGTCAGATGCTTCATTTGCAAATATTTTCTCCCACTCTGAAGGTTGTTTTTTGGTCTTGTTTATGGTTTCCTTTGCTGTGCAAAGGCTTTTAAGTTTCATTAGGTCCCATTTGTTTATTTTTGTTTTTATTTCCATTAGGAGGTGGGTCAAAAAGGATCTTGCTGTGATTTATGTCATAGAATGTCCTGCCTATGTTTTCCTCTAAGAGTTTTATAGTGTCTGGCCTTACATTTAGGGCTTTAATACTTTTTTTTTTTTTTTTTTTTTGTGCGGTACGCGGGCCTCTCACTGTTGTGGCCTCTCCCGTTGCGGAGCACAGGCTCCGGACGCGCAGGCTCAGCGGCCATGGCTCACGGGCCCAGCCGCTCCGCGGCATGAGGGATCTTCCCGGACCGGGGCACGAACCCGTGTCCCCTGCATCGGCAGGCAGACTCTCAACCACTGCGCCACCAGGGAAGCCCTAGGTCTTTAATACATTTTGAGTTTATTTTTGTGCATGGTGTTAGGGAGTGTTCTAATCTCATTCTTTTACATGTAGCTGTCCAGTTTTCCCAGCACCACTTATTGAAGAGGCTGTCTTTTCTCCATTGTATATTCTTGCCTCCTTTATCAAAAATAAATTGACCATACGTGCATGGGTTTATCTCTGGGCTTTCTATCCTGTTCCATTGATCTATACTTCTGTTTTTGTGTCAGTATGTCCCCTAATCTTGAGTGGTATAGGCCTGTGAAAATGTGACTTCTGTGTTTGCTTCCATGTCAGCTGACCCGTATCGCACTATTGGTTGCTGCAGGTGAGCCTTAGTGTCATATCATGACTGTTCCTCTTAGACGCTAGATGCAGAGCTCATCAGAGTCGTGTGATTTATTTTAGAGGGCATCTAACATTGTCAAAGAAGTTTGGGAAGTTGAGGGCGGAAAAGGAACTAAGTGAGCTCACCAGCCAGGTCTGAACTTGATTAAGCTGGTATCCTTTGTTGTAACTTATGCTAATACCCATTAAATCTGCAAAGCAAGACTGGAATACTGTTTACACAAAAAGTATGTATACCTATGTAAATGTTTTTAGATATCACGCTGTAAATGAATATAGTACTATATATTCTGATAGCCTTCTAGTCAGATTACCTTGAAAATCCAAAATGATCTTGATGAACAGTAAAACATTATGATTTCATAGTTCATCTGTCTACCTCCTACATAGATGTATAATACTTGTATCTAACAGGATTACCAAATTACATACCTTTTTGGTATCTGTAACATGCCTAAAATACCAGAGCATTCACTGGCCAGTTACAGTTATGAAACCACAATGACATTGCCAGAGGAGGATTTGTTCACCGATATAGATGGCCTTCAGGTTTCTCATTACCATTTTGAGAGAGATGAGATTCTCTTTTTCTGGTATTTAAGCCTTTCTTTATTCAGATTGTTAAATTTAAGAAATGTCCTGGTTCTACGTAACACACTGTGTGATTCGTCTTGACTCACCCACCGTCTATGCAGAGATAATTTATCGACTGATAAACCGGCAGCAAGTTCAGCTGGTGAGTGTGTGGCTGTTTGGTTGTTGGTGCTACTCTGAGGAGGTCCTGGGCTGTGAGGAGTGGTGGCGAGAAGAAAGCAGCCAATCAGAAACACATTTCTCCTCTGTGCTGCTGCTTCAGTGGTCTGGAGCTGGGCGAGCATGAAATGGTTCTGGGCAGTTTCATTCACAGCATTAAGTAGCCTTTGTTTAAAAACTCCTAGTTCTGTGTTTCCAGTCTTGGCCTATGTATTAATATTAGTTTGCTAGGGCTGTCATAACAAAGCACCGCAAACTAGGTGGCTTAAAGAAAAAACGAAGAATTTTATTGTCTCACAGTTCCAGAGGCTGAGATCAAGGTGTTAGCAAGGTTGCTTCCTTCTGAGGGCCTGTTCCATGCTTCTTCCCTAGCTTCATTCAGGTGGTTTGCTGGCAATCTTCAGCATTCCTGGGTTTGTAGAAGCATCACCCTGATCTCTGCCTTCATCTTCATGTGACGCTCTCCCCGTGTGCACGTCTGGGCCCAGATTTCCCCTTTTCATAAGGACTCTAGTCATTTTGGATTGGGTGCCCACCCTACTCCAGTAGGATCTCATCTTAACCAATTACATTTGCAACGATTGCATTCTGAGGTTAGGACTTCAACGTGGATTTCGGGGGGACATAGTTCAACCGCATATTCACCTTTCTCCTGAGGTCCACACTAGTCCTTTTGGCTTCCTGCTGGATACCACACTTCACTGTTTGGGTGTCTCTAATTTAACACGGTTAGAATTGGTCTTACTCTCTCCCACTTCCCTTCTTTTTCCTTTTTTATTCTTTACCTTTGGTGGTGTCATCACCCCGCTCAGTTATCTAAGTTAGAAGTCTTGGAGTAACTCTTTTCTGGCTGTCAACCTCTGACCTCCAATCGCTACCAGGTTTTGTCATTCCTGCCTCAGTTGTATTTCTCCACTCTTCCCCCTTCTCCAATCCTAGTGTTCCGGCTCTGGTTTAGACCCCTGCTGTCTCTAGCTGTCAGGCTGTCTCCCCACGTCTCGTCTTTCCTCTGTTAAATTCATCTTCCACAGCAGTCCCTTTTCTAAAATAAAGATATGAACCTGGTATTTATTAACCCTAAAAACCTCCAGTGACTTCTCACTGCCTGCAAAAAAAAGTCAGGATTCTGTAACTGGCCTTTAAAGGCCTTTACAGGTGGCTGGCATGATGGCTCAACCACTCTTTTACTCGGCAGGACCATTAGATGCAGGGTCAGTAACACCTTTGTCCTTCTCTAAATACAGCACACCCCTCTGTACTTAGTTCTTTCCTCAGTGTGGATCGTCCTTCCCCTACCCTTCTCTCTTCTCTCCATCCTCCCATACCGATTGGAATTCTGTCTCGGTCAAATGGGAACCAGGACACTCGGTTTTCAGGCCAAAATGCCAGAAGCCAGTTGTTTCACCGTGCATGAGCCATAACTTCTAATAGTTTTCTCAAAAGTAAAATGGGGAGGTGGAAGGAGTTGATCTCTAAGATCTTTTCAGCTTTAAAATTTGTTCTTTAAATGCCACAGATTTGTGGAGCATTCCTTAATTTCCTTAGATTTATTCCTTAATTTATTACTTATTTATTCCTTAAGGCAGAATAAATCACTTCTCCTCTGTGCCCCTTGATGCTTTATCTTTTACTTTTGATACTCAGCTCGCGTTCTGGCGGGGTTACGTGCACATGACTACCTCTCATTCCCCCAGCAGGCTGTCAGCTCCTTGAGGCCAGCCGGGAACCTTCCACTCATATGTGTTTCCCTTGCCATCCCCACCTGCCCCTGGTCCTGCTCACACACACAAGATTTGCAGTGAGACAGACTCTGTAGCCGAGGAGAAAATGTTCTGGGCAAGTGTTCTTCTGTAACACGTGCCGTTCCTGAATGTTCCCCTGCGTTCGGAAGGATGTGTTTTTGGATGGTGAATGACATAGAGACCGTGTAATGGACACACCAGAGTTTTCTTTTCTTTGTGGCATTATTATAATCAGGTGACATTCTGGGAAATAGCTAAGTTAACGTTGTAGCACTTACTTTGTATAAAAATGTGTTCTCTCTGTAAGATTTTAGAAGTAATTAACTGTTCTGTGAAACATGGGAAAGCACTTCTGTTTTCTTTCTCCTTCTATATCCTCGAGACTTGGACTATCCCAATGTATCATTGAAATATTTGTACATTTAAAATACAAAATAGTGGCAAAGAACTTAGTTCTAAGACAGCCTTTGTGGATTTATTTACTCCTTGGAAGTCAAAGCATCTGTGGCCTGTTCTGCACCTCCTAATGGATAGATGTAATCATACCATGACCTTGCTCAGAAACTTGTATCTCTGAACATCTGATCTCATTTCACAGTATTCTCTTATGTACTTTTCTGTCCAGATAAAATTAGTTCCTCACATTTTCCTTGCACACTCCCTAGCTTTCTTGCACCTGCCTTTCTGCAGGCATTTCCCCTGCCTAAGGTGACCCCCTTTCTATGCCCATTACTGCATACCTGTATTTCACTAATTTTTCGAGACCCAACTCACATTCCATCTCTGCCACAAAGCTTTCTTTGGTTTCCTACCAAAATTCTGTTATCATCATCTTGGTTCCTGTCTTATGATTTGTCTTTCCTGTATAATATTCTAGACTAGGGTTATCTGTCTTACCAGACTAAAAGTGCCTTGGGGTCATATTTCGTGGCCAGTTTATCTGTATTCTATCCCCCGCCCCAATATCATCCTTTAGTTCAATCCTCAGTGGTCAGTGGATATCAGTAATGAATGAATCTTTGTGAACCATTTTTACATGGTGTAGGAAGGTATTAATGAATGACTGAGCTGGTCTATTTTGTTGTTAACAACCATATATTAATCTAAAGTGTCTAAGCTTTATTTTTAGAATTAACGTGTCACCATATCCTCAAATCTGTTGTGTCTTTCAGATTCTGTGTGTTGTTATTTCAGTCCACTCTATGTAAAAGGAAATGCTAAGTGTTTATACATGCTTTTAGGTTTGAATTTTATTTTTTGACAGTGACGTTTTATTTTTTCCCTTAGTGTATATTTGTGTATGCTTCTGTCTTCCACAAGCTACTGACTTTATGCTTGTGCTTGTTTTGTGTTGCAGATTAATATCCTTTCAAGAATTTGTGGCGTTTGAATCTGTCCTGTGTGCCCCAGATGCTTTGTTCGTGGTGGCCTTCCAGCTGTTTGACAAAGCTGGCAAAGGAGAAGTCACTTTTGGTAAGGGGCGTGAGTGTGTGCACACCTAAGGAAGTGCAGACCTGTGTGAGCGGTTTGGGTTTTTTTTTCCCAAGAATGAAGTGTATGGAAATGGTTTTAAGAAGTTAGCCTATCCCTTTTAACAAAGATATCTCGGTGTTTTGAGGCTCCAGTTCTTGAAAAAAAGTCTCCCTTCGTGAAAAATTAAGTTTCTGGCTTAGTAGTTTTGATGCTCTGCTTTAGTTGTAAGGTGAGGGAGGATGGAGCACGACTGAGTCACGTCGTGACTCACTGAGGGTCGTAGAAGGTGAGAGGCAGAAAGGATTTGACCGTCCACTTCATTCCCTTCACAGTCAGTAGTGCTTTCCACGGTTAGAATGAAGAAGTTAATAAAGTGCCTAAGAACAGAAGGGATTCATGTTCCCAGTACCTTGTGTCCTTACCTTGTCCTCATGGAGTAGCTTGAGCCCAGAGGCAGCGCGCGAGATGGTAATTTGGAGCGGTACGTGGAGAACCCTGTTCTTCTCAATAACACGTTCCCCTCTGGCTGGGCTGGCAGTGTCTGCTGTGCTGCCCCCGCCGTTATTGGGGGACGCAGCACCATGTTCATGGGGCTCAGCTGCCAAGCTGCAGAAAACCCTGAAGTCTCTTAAGCATTAGGAGAAAGGGAAAACCAGGACGTGGTGGGGCAGTGGTACGTTCTTGTTTAAAAATAAACTGGTTACTGAAGATACATTGGGCAGAAGACACCACATTTCCCTCAGACTGTGCCGTGTCCAGCGTATGTTATCTGTGCGTGTGAACCTGGTGTAGAAAGCATTGCTGTGGAGAATTTTGGAGCCCTTTTGGGGCACACAGATTGTGCATTCAGGGGAAATGGGTAATGCACCCATTTTAAATGTCTTTGTTCCTTGTCTCTAATTTATTCAGACTTCTTGGTCTTGTCTTACTTGTACGTCGTGAGGAATGTACAGATGGGGGGAATACAGATGGTGTAATAGAGCACCATCTGTTCTGGATGGTTCTGGAATTGGAGAGACTTAGCTCCTCCCAGCTCTGCCACTTTTGTCTCTGAGTCAAGTTAATTATCCTTTCAGGTCTTTATTTTCCTTATCAGAAATGAAGATAATAACTACATAAAGTATAGGTAAGGCAGCCTTCCCCTCCCCCACCCATTCCTCAACGTTCATTTGACATGACAGTTATTTAAGGCTAGATCAGCCAGGGCAGAGGCAAAAACACATATATTTACCTGGTTTTCTTTCATGTGTTCTAGAAGCTCAGATGCTTTCCGTTAATACTTCACGAGGATTATTTGATATTTAAAAATCCCTAGAATAATTTTAGTTTTTGCCTCTCCCATCACCCAGTTCCTCTAGCCACAACTTTTCAATGGAACACCAATAAAAATGTTCCCATTAAAATCTCCAAATAATAAATGAGCAGCTAGCTCATGGTGGTGTTGATTCACCCAGTGGAAGTCAGTTTGATGAGAACGTTATGATGACGTTTCCTCGGGGTGAACAACAAGGGGAACCTGTAAGTTTGCGTGAGCTCAGCACAGGTGTGCTCGCTCTCTCGTCTTCCTCCTTTCTGCAGCAAATCTGGAGGGAGGGCTGGAAGAGAGCTGGATTGGAGATGGGGGGGCCGAGGAACGGATTAGCGGCGTTTTCCCGACTCCGATCAGTCTTCCGTCCATGGGCGTGAAGTGGCGGGGCTGATGTTGCCACCAGCACACCACTGGCCTGGCGGAGGAAAGAAGCAAGAGGCTTTGCCAGTGCTGGGAGGGCTGTGTGTGTGTTAGTGTGGTTAGGAGAAAAGAACAGGTAAAGCAGCAGAATGTGGGAGATGGGAGTCATCTGTGAATTGTAGAAAGAACGTGGCATGACAACTGTTTCTGCTTCTCACTAGCTGTTGGTTGATGGACAAGTCATTTCCGATTTCTGAGCCTTATTTTCCTTATCTACAAAATCAGGGTAATAACCTACCTTCCAGGACTATTGCACATAAACGGGCCATGTGGAAAACAAAGGCCTTTATAAAAATAATATTACTAAAAGAAATCATGTGAGAGAACAAAGGAGGATTTTCTTTTTTCTTTTTCTTCTTCTTTTTTTTGTTCTTTGAGAAGCCCTTTATTTTAACTTGCAGTTTAACCACTGGTCAGGTAGCTGGGAATTTTGCTTACTACCTGTGCTGTGTTGAACACTGTCCCATCTCTGAAGACATGCGAGAGTGCGTAAGACATCGGGGCTTCCAGGGGGCTACGATTCTGCTTCTGTCCTCAGCTGCATGTGACTGTGGTGGAAGAGTGCATAGCCCATCTCTCGATACCCTGCCTTCTGCAGGTAATTTGTTCCAGAATCTGCCTGTCTCACAAAACACAAACAGGGTATGCCCTGTATCTGTTTATGAGGAGCCAGTGGCGTCCTCACCCTGTGGGTGTAATAAAATGTCGCCTGGGCTTTTCTGAGCTGTTAATCCCCATTTAGGATTAAACTGAAAGAGCTATTCATAGTACAAAGAAGATACTCAAATGACCATCAAATTGCAAAATGATAGCCGACTTAACATTTTTCATGAGGTCGGGTAGAGTCATTCAGTGGAGGTGAGCGCTGTGTACAACAGGCTTTTGCCAAGTAAACACAATCATATGGGAGGTGTGGCAGCCTTAGGAGTGTTTTGTCAGCAGGTACCTTTAGAAGAAGCTAACAAATAAGTACGTTTTTCAGGAAACTTGTAATGGGGTTGAAGAAATTTTTTAAAAAATGGAGTTGGGCAGAAAAGTGGACTTTCCTAGTCAATCCTGATCTCATAGCCCACAGTATTATAAGGGAATCCAGATCTGTGCCCTGGCTCTCTGTCCATATGAAGCTGTTTGAGAGACACACAGTGGCACTCTTTGCTCTGATTACTTCCTCAGCTCCCTGTAAATCCTTCACTCAAGAGTGACCCTTTTGTATATCAGAAGGTTGCCCTCCTGAGTGTGCATCTTTGGGAGGAGTAGGCATGGAGTGGCGAGAGTGGAAGGGCTCCTTTTTTAACCTCCCAGGTTGGCATGGTCAGCTGTGGTCACGGGGTGAGCACTGCGCTTGCACTAAACAGTGGGTCATCTGGGGCCTTCCCATGGGCTGCAGGGAAGGCTGGCAAGTGGCCTCAGATCCCCCATGTCTCCTGGCTTTGCATTTCATCCAGAGGAGAGCAGTTACACTCTTTATCTGTATACATATTAGGTTTCCACATAAGAGCTCATCTGAAGCAGGGCTTCTAGGACTAAGCCCAGTAAGCACCGGTATTTGTCAACAAGCCGGCAGTGTCAGTGCTCCCACTAATGCTGATTCTGGTACACACTAAACAAAAATCAGATGGAACGTTTCAGCGTCGCATTTCAGTGAAGCCTTGCCCCCTGTTCTCTGAGGCCTTGTTTATGTTTACCGTATTTTCATGTCCCGATCACTCCCTGTGTTTGCTACAATGAAAAGATCTTGATGAGGCCAATTTTGTTCCTTTGATATCTAGTTCATTATGTTCTCCTGTTTCCTTTGAGGGAAAACATATCTCCACTATTCTTGTTCTCACCATGTTTTCTTATTTTGATACCCGGTATTTGTAAGTGCGTTTTATGATGCCAACAGGTGTATAACATGATATCAGTACAAGTAGAAAATTCTGCTTAACAATTTGCAATTCTGTGTGATTGGAGAGAAAAGTATTTTGTTCTAAATCTTTTCATTTGCATTTTTAGCCTATTTTATATGACAGTGATTTTTTACTCTTAATTTTTTCAAGTGTACTTTATTGAAGTAGAGCATACATGCAGAAGGATGCACGAATCCTAAGTGTACATTATGATGATTTTGCACAGTGTACATACTTGTTTCACCACCATCCAGATCAGAAAGAGAATGGTACCAACACTCAGTAGGTCTCTTCCCAGTTACTGTTCCAATGGTAGCAAGGGATATTTATCACCATCAATTGATTTTGCTTGCTTTTAAACTTAATAAAAATGGAGTGATACAGGATTTATTCTTTCATTCTCACTTTTGCTCAAATTTTATTTGTGAGATTCATCCATGTTTTTGCTATGTGTATTTTTATTTTGTTCTTTTTCTTTGCTGTGTAGTATTCCATTGTATAACTTTACCCTAATACGTTTACTCATTCTACAGTTGATAGACACTTGCACATTTCCAGTTTTGATTGCTACAAATATGCTTTGAACATTCTTTTATGTATTTTGGGGTGTGCATATGTGTAGGCATTTCTAGGAGTAGAATTGCTGGGTTGTAGAGAGCTTCCCTGGTGGTGCAGTGGTTAAGGATCCACCTGCCAATGCAGGGGACATGGGTTCGAGCCCTGGGCCGGGAACATCCCACATGCTGCGGAGCAACTAAGCCCGTGTGCCACAACTACTGAGACTGCGCTCTAGAGCCCACAAGCCACAACTGCTGAGCCAGTGTGCTGCAACTACTGAAGCCCACATGCCTGGAGCCCGTGCTCCGCAACAAGAGAAGCCACTGCAATGAGAAGCCCGTGCACCGCAACGAAGAGTAGTCCCCACTCGCAGCAACTAGAGAAAGCCCACGCGCAGCAACGAAGACCCAGCACAGCCAAAAATAAATAAAATAAATGAAGAAAAAAAAGAATTGCTGGGTCTTAGAAAATGTATATATTTAGCTTTCAGTAGATCTTACCAAACAGTTTTCCGAAGTGGTTGTACCAGTTTACATTTATACCATCAGTGTATGAGAGTTCTAGTTATTCTACTTCTTTGCAAACACTTGCTGTTATCAGTTACTTTCATTTTAGTGATATCTCACACTGTGACTTTAATTTGCATTTTTCTCATTACTTATGGGTTGTACAACTTTTTAAAAACTGTTTATTGACCACCTGAGTATCCTTTTTTTTTTTTTTTACTATGTGTCTATTTTCTAGATACAAGGGCTTTGTGGGTTGTATATTTCCAGATGTTTTTACTCTGTGACTTGCACTTTTACTCCACTTCATGGAGTCCT